ACATACACATACGTGTAAACCAACAGACCTGTATGTATACAGAAAACATACATACTCGTGTAGTACCGTAGAAGGTATCGGAATCTACGACACATACACATACGTGTAAACCAACAGACCTGTATGTATACAGAAAACATACATACTCGTGTAGTACCGTAGAAGGTATCGGAATATACGACACATACGTGTAAACCAACAGACCTGTATGTATACAGAAAACATACATACTCGTGTAGTACTGTAGAAGGTATCAGAATATACGACACATACGTGTAAACCAACAGACCTGTATGTATACAGAAAACATACATACTCATATAGTAACAGTAGTAAGCATCAGTTTAAATGACACACAAAACTTGTGAACCAATAAGCATGTTTCTGTATACAAATCATACATACTCATATAGTATGCAGACTTGTTGACAAAAAGTTAATTGCAATCTTTCTTTAGACCTTGGTTGCTGTGGTAACAGGAAGGATACCTATATTTATATTTTAAATACTTTATTATGAGAAATGTTTATTGGCTGCATTAGATGAAATAGTTAGTTTTATTTGTTTTTCTTACAATAAGGGGAATGTGTACGAAGTTTCAGACAAGGGGTTTGTTGGTTTTGAAGATTGTGAATTTTCAAGGATTCTCAGTTTGTTGGTAATATATATAAGCCGGTATTCTTTACTTTTCTCTACTATCTTATTTTCTGTGGATATGAACAGTACAACGCTTTCCTCCCTTTTTATTAGTTTAATCACAGTTCAATACCATTTCAAATTCATTTCAGAAATAAAAAATTATCTTTCACTATTAATTTGTTTAATGTCACCTTCCTATCATCTAGGTGCAAAGAAATACCCATTTATAGAACTTAGCTTATGGTGTGTCCAATATTTTATGAAATATTCATTTGTAGAATTTAGCTTATGGTATGTCCAATATTTTTATGAAATATTCGTTTATAGAATTTAGCTTATGGTGTGTCCAATATTTTATGAAATATCCATCTATAGAACTTAGCTTATGGTATGTCCAATATTTTATGAAATATTAATTTATAGAATTTAGCTTATGGTATGTCCAATATTTTATGAAATATCCATTTATAGAATTTAGCTTATGGTATGTCCAATATTTTATGAAATATCCATTTATAGAATTTAGCTTATGGTATGTCCAATATTTTATGATTTTTCATTTTATGTGAAATACATAAGATAATTTTTTTCTTCTTAATTCGAAACGATTGAACTTCATTAGAAGGTTTCAGTTACTAATATGTGCTCTCATTTTTGTCGTTTATAAGGAAGGAATAGTAATTTATTTATTAAGTGGACGAAATTTATGTGTTGTATAGATGTCGGCCACATGTCAGACAATATTAGAATTAATTACACTGCTTTCTTCCCTTGTACATGTAGTGTAGTCGAAATCGTAGAACTCACTTCAGTGCACATACAATAGATCTGTCAAAAGATATTGAAATATAACGACCGCTGAAAATAAGAGTGTATGCTAGTCTTTCTTCTCCTTCACTAGAGGTTGATTGAAAAGAAAATTGCAGCCAATCAAAGTTTGAAGTTATAGCTTTTTGTAAAGGAACTTTTCTATTCGAGTTTTTCATCCTCTTGAGGATTATATTGCATCTGACGGGTTCGTATGACAAGACATGCCTGAGATTGGGTAGCTCAACGATATGTGAATAAAAATATGAACAGAAAGAAAGTAAAAAGAGTTAAAAAGGAGACGAATTTGTTTAGGTTATTCTTTTGCTCTCTAATTTCTGATAAACTTTTAATGTAAAGAAACTCACATGTGTTTTGTGATTGATCAGAAAACCAGTGAACCTAGTTGTTTTGCTATGGTCATAATAATAATAAAAATGTGCATGACGACTGGTTGCCAACTTTTCTTAGTGATTCGAAATTATAGCGTGTGACGTCTTTCTTATGAATTTAACATTAGTTTTCAATGAAGTCCATCTTGGATTGTTTTCGTGTTTTTTCTGCACCTTCAGTTTTTTATAGCTTTCTAAATCAGGCCCCTTAAAAGTATATTGTTATTTAAACTAAATTAAATACTTTGATTTTGAATGTGTTATGAAAGAAACGTTTGAAAATAGTTATAATATAATTTGAAAGCTGAAGCTAATAAATAGACAAATAATGACAAAGATATAAAACAGTTGTTTGAAGAACAATTTTAGCAAATGTTCAAGGAATGCAAAAGAAGAAAAAAGTGTAAGATTATTTGAAACTAAATTAAATGAATAACTATTTCGTATAGAATATGAACATGTTATTATAAAAAATTTGGATAATAATCAAGAACTCAAAAAACTGTTAGCGATAGCGATATACAGGTAATGCAGTTTTCCTGTCTTTTTCAGTTTGTGGTCCAGATGCCAGGGTTTCATATAGTTTTTTCTCTGTTTTTTCAGTCTGTGGTCCAGATGCCAGGGTTTCATGTAGTTTTTTTGTTTTTTCAGTCTGTGGTCCAGATGCCAGGGTTTCATGTAGTTTTTTTTTTTCAGTCCGTGATCCAGATGCTAGGGTTTCATTTGTTTTTTGTTTTTCTTTTTCAGTCTGTGATCCAGATGCCAGGGTTTCGTAGCTTAGGTGACGAGGAGGAAGTAGAGTTTGAATGCAAAGTTTCTGATAAAGGTTTGGAGGCCATCACAGTAACTGGTCCTTGTGGACAGGACTGTAAGGGATCTCACAGGAGGCCAATGTCCAAAAAAAGATTCCGGAAAATCAGGTGTGAATCTTAATTGTTTTAAAAAACTGCTTACAAATATTTGCCTATTATAGTTTGTAAAAATTAGCTCAAAGCGTTGCTGTAGTTAACCTATTGCCTTAAGAAAGCATTACTATTATTAAGCCTAACGAGAGATTCGAGACTAACCTTTTGGGTCTGATTATTAACTGTATTTATTCTTCAAAGTAAATGGGTTTCTTCCAACTAAAGTATTGCATTAAAGACATCAGAACCGTCCGTGTGCTAAATTAATGTGTTTTATGTTGAGCTCTACAAGCATTTTAATTGTATTAAGCTGTGTGGCATCTTATCAGGATTTTAACTAGTAGATTTCATATATTTATATAATTTTAACTTATGCATTATTATTATTATTAACCTTGTTGGCAAATTATAGGTTTGGTAGACGGAATATTTTGCGATAGTTCATCACATTGAGCAAATAATTTTTATATAAATTAAAATTTTAGAAATACGTTTTAATGTCACCTAGTGTTACAGTTTACTTTAATATTTATATTTAACTATAAACTATTTACATTTCTTTAGTATTTAAAACCAAAAGTGAAACTTGGCACACCTCTCCCATTCTGCTAAAGATAAAAAACAAATAGGTTATTTCATCCCGTTTCAGATATTTGATTACTTTCATTGTTACTCAGCCTGTTCTCTAGACATGTTTAAGGAGTTTGTATTATTTTTGGAATAATTCTATGGGAAGAAGTAAAAGCACCAGTATATTTAAATATCCAAATTCATATACTTGTACGTTTTTTAAGTATTGTGAGAAATTGTATATATGCGCACGTGTGTGTGTGAAAAACAAACAAATAATGTGTCATTATTTAGGGTATTTAGTTAATCATTATGTGTCAATATTTAACGTATTTAGTTAAT